GGGGACACGCCGGCCTTGCTGAGGGGCATCTTCAGAGGTGGGTGAGCCCTGCGCTGCGGGCTGAGGGCAGCGCTCACATCCCAGGAGATAGGCGGGAAGGGGGAAACTGGCAGCAGGGGTTTGTGATGGGCCCCGTGTAAGTGGGACGGGCTTTTGGGTGCCCTGGGGCAGAGCTGGGCTGACCCGCCGGGCCGGGCTGATGCTCCTCAGCTCTTTGACACCTGTGGGGTCTGGCAGCGGGTTGAGTGAGTCACAGGGCCGAGTGTTTCAGCTGTGTCACCCAAGAGATGTTTGCCGTGCTCTGCTGTTCCCAGCTCGGTCAGGCAGATAAAGCAGGGAGTTGCAACCAGGTGGCCGCTGAGCCCTGCTAATTTCCTGTTGTTTAGCCACGTGTTGTTACTTACTTTTCCCCCCATTCTTTGTTTTCTTTATTTTCTCCTGTGAAGGCTCTCCCTGTTCCCAGCCGAGTGGTGTGCTCAGGAGGCTTCAGGTTTACAAGCACTGCATCCCACTGGTGGAGTCAGGGGACCTGCACCTGGGCAAGGTGTCTGAAATCATAGGGCTGCTGATGCTGGAGGTACAAGCTCATTTGGGCTGGATTTCCTTGGGTCTGCTGAGTGCCATTTCCTATTGAGATTGAGATGCTTCCCTAGGCCACTCAGGAAAATTAGTTGTATCCTTTCCACAGATCTGCCCTGGTCTAAGGTGGTGGAATTTGTGCGTGTAAATGTGGTTATCTTTGGATTTTTAGACTTAAAACTCCAAACCTATGATGACATCAGCTTGATTTACTGCTCTGTTCTATAAAGGACAGCACAAAATAGAGATCTTGGGCCTGAATTCCCCTTTTAGGGGAACATTGCACTGTAAGAAATGTTGTCCTTCGCTGGGTTTGGTGATGATTTGGACATTGATGTGGAATTCTCTGCACCTCCTCAGGCTCTTTCACACTGTGTCTTCTCCAGGCTCCCCAGCTGCCCAGCCATGCCTTGGCTGAACTTGCCACCCTCTTTGTGGATGTTATTAAAGGTGGCAGCTTGGCTAATGGGAAATCCTTGGAGTTGTTTTCCACTGTTCTCACTGCGTTGGCCAGTTCAAAGGACAGCCTGGCTTATGGGCAAGGTAACCCCTCTCAGTTCCTTCCCCCAGCCTGTCTTCCCTTCTTCTGGAATCATCTCCTAAAAGATTTCTTCTTTTTAAGGTGAACTGAATGGGGAAGAGTTTAAGAAACAGCTGATAAATACCCTCTGCTCCAGCAGGTATATACCTCTCTGCCAGCCATTAGTTACATGGCAAAACAGCATGCTTCATGTTGTGCTTTGAAAAAGACATCATCATCAGCTGTTTGCCACCTTCTGTGTCCTGTTCTATGCTCTTTGAGTCTGTGCCCTCTGTGACAGTATCTTCTCTGTCTGGGAAGGCAAGGGAGCACTCTGTTCCCACATCTTGTAATAGTGATGTACAAACTGGTCTCAGGAAGTGCTTGTTTTTATTCTTTTCTTGGTACTTGTGGGGGCTGGAGATGTTCAGGACCATGATAAGTCTGGGTGGTTAGGGTGGCAGTGGTGATTTCTGGTGGAAATCTGGCTTCTAATCTTAATATCAGAATGTAGCAGGGAAGCAGTGACATTGAGTAATTGTATATGAGGAGGGAAGGGTTAAGCAAAAATTCTGCTTGCTCTTAATTTTCCAACATATTGTTGTTTTATCAGGTGGGATCCTCAGAGCGTAATACATCTTGCCAACATGTTCAGGTAATTCTTTTTCCCTTTAGTGTCAACCCTTTCTTGTGCTGTGATCATGTCCCTGTCCTGTTTCACATGCAGTTTAGGACAAGTATGAATGGAAGGTCTGACCATGCCAGGCACAATTCCATGGATGGCTGAGTCAATGAACAACCACAGCGGATCCATTTGGATACAAAACACATCTGGGCAGTGTGTCATGCCCTAAAGACTGGGCATGATATTGTGTTTTTTATTGCATGTATGAGTGAGCCTTGGCAAATTAATAATGCATTAATGAACAAGCATAAATGTGGAGGAGATCGAAGCACGAAAGGTTGAAAAGTACACTGGGACAGTAGAAGGGTATTGAGGGATCTGTGGCAACTTCTTCTGGTGAGGACTTTGGGAGCACTTGCTGCCTGTCTATACATTGGGACCCTTTGCCTAGTTGTGAATTGAAACTGCTGTGGGACTCTGAAGGAATTTAGTGAAAATGATGCGAATGCACATTTTTGATTCAACAGGGATATTCCACTATCAGGAGAGGAGCTGCAGTTTGTGGTGGAAAAGGTCCTTAGGATGTTCTCCAAATTAGACCTGCAGGAAATTCCCCCTCTGGTCTATCAGCTGCTGCTGCTTTCTGCAAAGGTAAAAGCTTGTAGGAGCTGCCCTCCCACTGAGTATGTACCATGATACAAAATATGTACAGACTGGTTGGGTTTTGGCAGGGATTCTGTTTGCTCCCAAACTGCTGTGGGGAGCAGGACCCAGCAGGAAATCGGTGGGTTTTTATTTCTCTAACTCCCTCTAGCCTGAAGAAGCTGAATGCTCAGAAGATACAATCTTGATCTTCCTTGTAGGGCAAGAAGGAAACATTTGGGAAAC